CCACCTGCTAGACACCTTCTCCTGGGTATTCTTAGGGTATTGTTTATGGAAGCCACTTTCCTTACCTGGTGAGATTCAGGAAAGGTTTTGAAAAATGTAACCACAACTAAACAATAGAATTGTCGTTATGTGAATGTCGTTATTAACATCTTTACCAATGATAACAAATTTGAAGGCTCTCCTTGCCCCTAGGCATGGAGAATCCCAGCATCCATGGGCGCACCCAGCTAAGGCATCCTCAGTCAGTCCTCAGAACTGTGGAGAAAGGTCTGGGGCCAGGCAAGGAATCGCCTCTTGAGTTCTGCTATAATCCTCTTTTCTAACCATACTTATTTTACTCCTTGAAAATATCAATAATTTTGAATACTTAAAAAACTCAGGGTGTACTCTATTGGCTCTTTTGTTTAGAACCTTGCCAGTTAAGATAAATTAAAAAAGAAAAACCAGCATCAATTTTACAAATTAAACTGTGAATTTGATTTTAATTTTGGTATGTGATATCAAATGTGTTGCTAATTTAATTTCCCCCTTTTCCCACATGCTTAGCCACTTTCCCAATCATTATTCTTTTTTTGGTAAGAAGTTATCATTGTTACTTGTTTTATATTTTTGTGTTTTGAATTTCTGCAGATGTATCATCTGCAAAAGGTTAAATAATTGTAGCTTTATCTTGTGAATGTACACCAGGAAGGGTAAATACACATCCATTTTCAAAATACCCTTTGTGTGTGTGTGTATGTGTGTGTGTTGGGGATCTGAACTTGATAAATTAGGTGTTAAATAAAATTTGTGGGTGGCCATTTGTTTGGACTGGGCTCCTGCACAAAACAGACCAAGCCAATAGTATTTATAGCATTTGAGCTTTACTTAATTGTAGAAAACATTTTAACTAATTCAGCTGTAATCAAATGAGCTGTCTCCACATTTCACTTCTGTTTTTCTGCAAAGACTGTCTGATCACCTTGTTGACTGGGAGCCCTTTGAATGGTTCTGAGGGCTGATTCTGATCTCTTAAATTGTTTTTGTTTTGTTTTGTTTTGAATTGCTCACATAATTTAATGTAAGGATTCTTCCTTTTAATATAGGTAACAGCCACCCATGTAGCTGTTCATATATAAAGATAACATTCTTAAAAAGTTTGAAAGTGCATTGTTTTACAACAAACATGAATTTACCTTTAAAAAATAGGCATGCACTGGTAGTGAGGGAGTGAGGGGGAGAGGGAGGGGACTGGGTAGGTAAGGCAGGGGGTGGGGGGAAGGGGGCAGAAATGACCCAAACATTGTATGCAAATATGAATAAAAGAAAAAAAAAATAGGCATGCATTAACGTGGATGTAAATAAAAGATTCAGAGGGGTCTAAAATGAACAGAGTCCCCTAACTCTTCATAGCTACCCAGAACTCATCTTTGGAGGCAATGTCTAAATAATCCTTTCAAAGACGATTTTATGCATTCATATGTAAATAGATACGCATATTCTTTTCATAGTTTTTTAAAAAATAAAAATGATAGCATATTTTATGCATAGTTCTGTGTATAATCTGATAAGTCATTTTGTTACAACTTGGCCACTGGAAAGTCTTCCTTCACCAATTGTCTTTTAGGGCCATCCCTGAGTGGGGCTGAAGTACAGCAACAGCCTGATGTTGCTCACACCAACATACTGAGCCAACACTATGTGAATCAGCCTGTAGTTTTATTTCCTCTGTCAACTTGTCACAGGAAACACCCTTTAGGGCCATACATACAGGTTCAGGAATCAAGTGTGTAGAAAAGCTAATGGGCATGAGAGTTTAGGCCATTTATTTATGAAATGTGAGCCCTCTGGATCAATCTCAAACATACTATTTCTGCCCCTCCCCTTCCCTTTTTTTTGGTGGGAGTGGGTTTGAACCCAGGCACTCTTATCGCTCAAACTACACCTCCAGTCCATTTTGCTCTGGTTATTTTGGATGTGGAGTCTCAGGAACTATTTGCCTAGGTTAGCCTCAAACCATAATCATTCTGATCCCAGCCTCCCAAGTAGCAGGATAACAGGCCTGAGCCAATGATGCTCACCATAACCATCCAATTTTATAACTTGGTGGATGTGATGATTAATCTTGGTTGCTAATTTGATTGGATTGAGACACCTAGAAAGTTGGTAAAGCACACTTCTGGGTGTGTCTGTGAAAGTGTTTCCAGAGACCATTGGTTTGAAAGTCAGCAAATTCAAGTGAAAAGACCTGCCCTTAAATCATATTGCAATAGGCCAGAGGCCTAAACAGAACCAAAAGGTGGAAAAGGGGAAAGTACACATGTATGCTCACCTCTTCTTGAGCAGGGTATGGTTTTTGTTGCTGCAGTCACCTGTGGATGTCAGACTCCTGATTCTTCAGCCTTGAACACAGACTTGCATGCATATCAGTGATTTTCCAGGGGCCTTTCAGACCTGCAGCCTCAGGCTGGGACCACACCATTGGTCCCTCTCATGCTGAGGCTTCCTTCTTGACTGAACAATTACCAGTTCCCTGGCTCTCCAGTCTGGAGATGGCCATTGTGGTACTATTTAGTCTCTGATCCTGCAAGCCAATCTAATAAATTTTCTCTTATATATGTATGTGTGTGCGTGATATATTGGTTCTCCTATTAATCCTAAGAGTGGGTATGACAATACCTGGTTTATGGGTAGGTCTGGTTTCAGTCATTTGGAATTGCAGGCAGTTCAGTCTCTGCTAGGTCTTACTGTTGTAAGAAATGTTTTTCAAAGGGTATTATCCTCTACAGAAAGAATGTTCTTGATCCAGAACTTGTATATTTATTTTATAGGAAGGAATAAACAAGACCAGGAAGCACTGGGTTTGGGAGAGTGGGATAAGTGGGTGAATGGTTCAGTTAGTGGGTTGATGTTTTCTTCCCCAGAGATCAATTTTAAATTCAAGAGAGGCTTTGTTCTGAGATCCAATGCTAAAAGGTAGGTGATTCTCAGCACCTGGAGGAAGAAGTTTGGTTAAATCAGATGTTTTGTCAAGATTGCTTCTGTATCAACAGTTCAGCTAATCATTTCTGAGGTAAAGGATGAGAGTTTAGACAGTCTGTGTCCGGCCTTGTCATAGGTAGATAACGTCATCATTCTGGTTCTTTGCAGGAACATAAGGCAGGGGAATTTAACTGTTTTTCTAAGTCACCGTAAAGTTCATCATCAAGGTATATTTATCCAGCTGCCCTGAGTGTTTTGTAGTGAATGTCTTTCAGCATCTATTAGCTCATCTTCCATTTTACTACAAATCCCAGGAAACCTAAGTAGTTTATGCTTGAGCTAACTCCAATTCAGCTAAGAAGGGGAGGCTGAAACACAGGATAATTCAATTCCATCTTGCTCACTTTCTCTGAAACTAATGTGATTGGAGACCCAAGTCTTGCCTTTTTGAGTTCACTTTTGAGGACACAGAAATGTCATTTCTAGCATTTTGGAGGAAGAAATCATATGCCAGTTATGCATGTAAGAGTTAATTGCTCCTGTCAGTGTCAAGATAGAACCTATAACAAAAACTTATGGATAAGAAAATGTGGTACATATAACAATGGAGTATTATTAAGCTGTAAAGAATGACATTATGTCATTTGCAGGAAAATGGAACTGGAAATTATGCAGAGCAAGATAGGTCAATCAAGCTCAGGAAGAGTGCATAAATATTCAGGAAAAAAATTCAGACCCAAATAGCTGTTGAAAGAAAAGATATTTTAAAATGAAAATGGTACTTTCATCTTTTGACAACCTAAAAGAAAAATCACAGCTCATAAAAAAAGTCAGGATCCATTAACATGTCAATAAATACTGCGAAGAACTATAACTCAGTTCTTACAATGTCTTATTAAGTTGCCTTATGTATGAATTTCTGTAACACCTTTTTGTGTAGGGTTTTGTGATATAAAGGATGAAGAAAAAAAACACAGTAACGTTCCATATTTATTAACTCATCATAGGGGTCAACTCCAGGATCCTTTTTTTTTTGGTTGGTACTGAGATTTGAATTCAGGGTCTCACACTTGCTAGCCAAGAGCTCTTCCACTTGAGCTATACCCTCAAACCTTGTTTATTTTTCAGTAGCATCTTCTGAGTTTTGCCCAAGGCCACCCTTGGGCCATTATCCTCCTACTTATGCCTCCTGTGTAGCTGGGATGACAGGTACTCGCCACCATGCCTGGCTCAAGATACCTTTTCTGCTCTGGAACAAGGTATGAACTCTGACAAAACTTAGTCACCATTATTATTCACTGGGAAGGTTTCCAGTATTAATCTTTTTGGGCAGATTAAGACAAGTTTTTAGCTCAAAGAACTGAGATCCTGAGGTAGCTTATAGTAGTCACAGTTCTGACACAGAGTATTGGGACACTATTGACCTCATAATGTCTGGGATAAATGACAGACCTTAGGCTATGGATGTCTATTTAGCCTAGACTACAAAATCATACTTTAAAAATGCAGATTTTTAGGCCTGGTGGAATGGCTCAAGTGATAGAGAGCCTGTCTACTAAGTGTGTGAGTCCAAACCCCAATACTATAAAATAAATATAAATGAAAAATGCAAATTTTAATACATACATACAAATGAACAATAACATATCCATCTCCCATTATATCTGATAACTTCCAATTCTAGTCTCCAAGGTTACTGTCAAGCCAAGAACTTTTTCAGAGGTGGAGTAGTTGACTGTCACTGTAGTCTTTGTCATTAATTCAGAAACTTCATTTCTCAGAAGTATTCTATAGTCTCATAAGCTGGTTTTTTTGTAATCTTGGAAGAGCTGACAGTTTTTAATTATCAATTTCAAGCCCATTGCATGGCTCCTCCCTAATCAATAAATCAGCTGAATACAAGTGTGCTACAGATCTCATTTATGAACTAGACAAAGGTGAGGATAACATATCAAAATGATAAAAACTTGTATGGTGATATTATGTATGTTGAATGAGTCCTGTCCCTTGACTGAAAGTAATCCAGTATTATTTCCTTTTCAGGATTTAACTTGGGTATGAAGTTTTTGATGTTTAGTAAGGTTTGAATGTCTGTTGAAGGTTTTCTTACACTTTTTACACTCGAATGGTTTCTCTCCTGTATGAATCATCTGATGTCGAATGAGGGAGGAGCTGCGGTTGAAGGATTTCCCACAGTCAACACATACATAGGGATTGTTTCCAGAACAGTGTCTTGGATATCTATTACTGTCTTCATTCTTACAGAAGGCTTTTCCACACTTACTGCTTTCACAGGCTTTTGCCTTAGTATGAATTTTTTGATGTTTCTTAAGGTTTGTGTGTCGGTTGAAGAATCTCCCACATTCACTACATTTGTAGGGTTTCTCTCCAGTGTGAATGATCTGATGTCGGATGAGAGATGAACTTCGGCTGAAGGCTTTCCCACACTGACAACATTCATAGGAAATCCCTGTAGTATGACTTTTTTGGGGTTGAATATTATGCATACTTAGGCTTAAGGTAAGTCCACCTTCATTATATTTGGCATGTTGCTTATCTACAGACTCTAAATTAAATTTGAAGTTAGTGTTAGAGCCCTCTGTGGACCCCTTTCTTGTAGGAATTCTCTGTTGTACATCCCAAATAAAGTTAATTGACTTAAAGTTTTTCTTATTTTCATTACATTCAGAGTCTTTCTCCTCAGTGTAAACTGTCTTATGAATGAAAGCCTCTTGTGGCAAATTTATGTCCTGGTTCTTCTGGTTCTTATGTAACCAATCCTCACTTTTCCAGAGAGTTGAGGGAGGATGTCTAATTTTGGTAAGCATTGTCATAATTACTTCTTGGGATGATTCTTCTACAGAAACCCTCTGTTTTGATACTGCATCCTGGTTTTCTGAAATAGTCTGTACATCTAAAAAGAGATACAGAAGTAGATAAACTAAGAGAAGGGAAATTGCTTAATGAGGAAAGAGAGGCTAAACAACATCATGTTATATGCATATATTATGGTTCTTAAATACAGAATGGAAATAAGAGGTGAGACTAGGACAAGATAGCTGAAAAGAGTGCCCAGCAATTGCCTCCCCTTCCACAAAAAAAATGAAAGTTATATTTGTTATAGCTGCATCTTGAGGTTAGTGACCATGGCAAACACTGGAAAGCAGCAAGAGAGAAATGGAAACCTTGTAAGATTCAAGACATGGGACAAGAGCATAGTAAGAGAAACAGAATGCCCCAGTATTTGTTATGCTAGCTCCACAGCTAGTCTTCCCTTTGCAGGTATAAAAGTGAAAGAGTCCTAGACCATTTTTATAAGTATGGATGCTGGCAACCTAGCTACTATACAGTTCCACAATCCTCATAGGCTTGCACTCCACTCAGATAAATAACTTAATATCGCCACAGGAACCTTATTTTAGAAAATGATCTCATCTTCCAGCAAAAACTTAGGGTGCTATAATTAGGTGCCATCTGGAGAAGGGAGTTATTGTCTGCATTATGACTGCTCTATGGGTCAGAAACCCCTGCATCTTCCCATCTCTGGGACCCCCACAGACAACTGCCATACTAGCTTGTGACTCAGCTAGTCATAATTGGTGCAGCTGAGTGTCTACGACCCAAGCCTAGTAGATGTGCTACACGGTAGGGGATAGGTGTTTTGACAAGGAGAACGGAAGGCACTGACTTTAAGAGGGGCTTGCCCTCTAAGACCAAAGATGTGGTCAGCCACACGTGGAGGCCTGCCAGTGCCAGGACTGAGAGTTGGTGCCTATATGGTTCTTCCTACCCTTTTCTCTTGCAAGGCACTCAAGCACCAGTTACTGATAGGGTTGGAAAGAAATAAACTGTGGTTCCTGCTGCTGCCCTGCCTATGGGATATGCTAAGTGGGCCTTGAGCAACTGTGTGGTCCTGAGTGTCATCCTGTCTCATAATGCATATGACTGGTGGGGGCCAAGTGCAACTTTGCTGGGTTGTAAATGAAGTCCTGATTCCAGGAAAGCAGCCTAGAGGGACATCACAGTTACTGCTGCCACCACACCTATTTGGTTTCTGTCACTGATCACAACTACGCCTTATCTGACCACACACTGCTGGCTCTCCCCGTGAAGCTTTTGGGCCTATACCACTGACTGATCAGAGGATACGTGCTCTGGCCACTCACTACTGCTGGGGCTTTCAGTGCCAGAGACACCTGTGAGTAGCATAGCTAGCATCAACAATGCCTGAAGAAACCTATGGCTCACAGTAGGGGCCACCACTCCCATTGTAAAAGTAACCACACAGTGGGCACCTCACACCCACTGCTACCTGTAACACACCTGCCTGAAATGCTAGTGTTCTGAGTCTTGTGTGTTCTACAGACACTGTGGGTCTCTGATTCTGACACAGTACTCATTGTGCCCAAAGGCACTAGTTGTAAGAAACTACAGGCAGCATATACTACAGTGACCAGCTAGAATTAAAGCCAAACTGATATCCCACTACACAGCTTCATGAGAAAGGCACTTATTAAGAAGGCCACCTCATAAAAGGGAAAGAGCTATCTGGTCCAAGAGATGTTGAAATCTCAATATAGGAACACAGAAATATGAAAAAAAAAAGTGATATGGTGCCAAAAGAACGTGACAACTCTCAAGCAACAAATTCCAATGAAATCAAACAGGAGGAAATGCAGGCATTTAAAAGAATGATAAAAAATGCTAAGTAAGATCCAAGAGAATACAGATAAATAGTTTAGTAAAATTAGGAAGATAATGGAGGATATAAATGAGAAATTCAATGAGAGATTTAAAAAAAAAGAAATCTTGGAAAAAAAGAGCTTAATAAAGCAAATAAAAATACACTTGAAAGAAACAGAGTAGATCAAGTGGAGATACGAATATCTGAACTTGAAGACAGGTCTTTTGAAATATTTCATATTCATTCCCCATCTCTTCTCTCTCTCTCCCACACTTACATATACAAAGAATAAAAATGAATCTTTGGGACACCATTCAACTAACAAGTGTCTGCATTTTTTAACAATTTGGAGGTGGAGAAAAAAAAGATGCCACAGAAAATCCATTCAATGAAGTAATAGCAGAAAACTTCGTTAATTTTGAGAATGTTATGGACATTCATGTACATGTTACAGTGTCAAAAGTACAAGAAAAAAAATTAAATCTGCAGGAGAAAAGCTCCAAGTCACATTTAAAGGTGATAGCAGATTTCTCAACAGAAAATGTGCAAGCCAGGAGGGAATGGAATGATGTATTTTATATCCTGAAAGAAAATAAACTGCTAACCAAAATAATTATGCCCAGCAAGGTTATACTTCAGAAATGAAGCAGAAATTGAGACATTCCATGACAAGCAAAATTGAGGGAATTCATGACCAACAGACTAGTCTTACAAACAAAGCTGGAGGATATCCTATACCTAAAACTGGAATGAATGAATGAATGAACGAATAAATAAATAAATAAAACTACCACAATTAAAGCATGTGAAAATATAAATTCCATGGGAAGAGTAGATAAAAATAGATCAAACATTATTAATACAGTAAACTTTCAACTACAAAAGATCATCAAAAGAGAAAGAAAAGGACCAAGAATACTCAAAATAACTATAAGAAAGTCAACAAGCTGGGCACTGGTGGCTCATGCCTGTAATCTTAGCTACTCAGGAGGCAGAGATCAGGAGGATTGAGGTTCGAAGCCAGTACAGGCAAACAGTCTGCGAGACCCTATCTTGAAAATACCCATCACAAAAAAGGGCTGGTGGAAAGGCTCAAGGTGAAGGCCCTGAGTTCAAGCCCCAGTACCATAAAAAAAAAAAAAAAAAGGCAACAAAAGGACAGTAATAATCCTTACCTATCAGTAATAACTCAATGTAAAAGGACTATATTCACCAATTAACATCATTCTGAGTGAGGTTAGCCTGGCCCAAAAGACCAAAAATCATATGTTCTCCCTCATATGCGGACATTAGATCAAGGGCAAACACAACAAAGGGATTGGACTTTGATCACATGATAAAGCAAGAGCACACAAGGGAGGTATGAAGATAGGTAAGACACCTAAAAAACTAGATAGCATTTGTTGCCCTCAACACAGAGAAACTAATGCAGATACTTTAAAGCAACTGAGGCCAATAGAAGAAGGGGACCAGGAACTAGAGAAAAGGTTAGATCAAGAAGAATTAACTTAGAAGGTAACACATATGCACAGGAAATCAGTGCGAGTCAACTCCCTGTATAGCTATCCTTATCTCAACTAGCAAAAACCCTTGTTCCTTCCTATTATTGCTTATACTCTCTCTTCAACAAAATTAGAGATAAGGGCAAAATAGTTTCTGCTGGGTAGCGAGGGGGTGGGGGGGAGAGGGAGGGGGTGGGGGAAGGGGGAAGAAATGACCCAAACATTGTACGCACATATGAATAAAATAAAAAATTAAAAAAAATACAGGGTGTTTTTGTTTTGAATCCATTTCACCAATCTGTATTTTTTAATAGGTGAATATCGTCCTTTTACATTCGAAATTACTATTGATAGGTAAGGATATGTATAGGCTAACAATTGGAAAACACAGATGAAATGGACAAATTTACAGACACATATGACCTACCAGAACTGAAACATGAAGACATGAAGAACTTGAATAGAACAATAACTTCTGAGATTGAGTCAATCGTGTTTGAAATTCTCTCAAAAAGGAAAAACCCAGGACCAGATGGCTTCCTTATTTGATTTTATCAAACTTCTAAAGAACTAAGTGCAAATGCTTCTCAAACTACTCCACAGTTGAAAGGAAGGGAAGTGTTTCAAACTCATTCCGTGACGCTAGTATTACCCTGTTAACTAGACAAGGACACACACACTCATACCCACACCAAAACAACTTATCAACCAACCAAAAAAACCCTGTAGAACAATGTCCCTTATAAATATATAGGCAAAAACTCTCAATAGATACTAGCAAATCAAATTCAACAGCACACCAAAAAGATAATTCATCCACAGATCATGCTTGTTTCATCCCAGGGATACAAAGATAGTTCAATATATGTAATATACCCCAACAGAATGAAAGATCAATATTACATAATCTAAACAGATGCAGAAAAAGCATGTGATAAATGAAAAATGAGTCAGGGAATCATAAAATATTAGACAAGCTATTTAGGAATGTTAAGGAAGATACCTAGGGACTCAGAGAAAATAACAGTAAATGAACCAGCTATCTCTGGTTCATAACTGGTGTGAAGGTTCTATCTAATTTTCTTTCCTCTGGCATCTTGTTTCTTTAACTCAAGCTATATACCAATAATAAATAAGCTTTTTAATTTAAGTATTTTTTTAATTGTTCGGCTGGGGGTATATTGTGGTATTTACAAAAGTTCTTAAAATATATCAAACATATATCATAGTTGAATTCACCCCCTCCACCATTCTCTTTACCCCTCTCCCCTCATTCTTGGAATAGTTTCAACAGGTCTCAGTTTTCCATTTACATACATATGCACACAGTATTTGCACCTACTACTGGTACCTGCCCCTCCCCCCACAGGACCTGTTCTGCCCTTCTATATTCCCTTGATTTTGTAAAAAAAAAAAATAAAAAAAAAGACATTTTTGTTTGTTTAAGATAGCTATACAGGGAGTTTCCTTGTATATATGTATTATAACCTGAATTGGCTCATCTTCTCTATTTTTCTCCATTCTACCTTAGTCCCCTTCTTATGGTGATTAATAGGTTTAAAAATTATATATTCATTCTTGTATAGGAAGTACATCAACCATATTCACCTTTTTTTACCCTCCCTCTCTTGTATGTGACTTCCCATTAGTGTAACCTGTTTTCCATAATATAGGCAGTACTGGGGTTTGAACCCAGGGACTCATGTTTGCTAGGCAAGTGCTTTTACT